TAAATTTTTGACAGGAAAATAAGGGTGCACGTTATACATGGGTGTAAAAATGGAATTAAAAATTAAAGTGAAAGATTTTTTTCCTGAAAGTTTAGGCCAAAAACATGGGTGCACATTATACATGGCAAAATACAATATGTAAGTCTATATTTTATAAGTCATTCACACATTGCCAGTCCATTAACAGAACACCCAGATACACACAATTATAATCCAACTCAATAAATTTGGACATATTTCTGATTTTCAGTTGCATGAAAACCGGCTTTCCATATATTCTTTACTTTGTTGTTAGGAAAGTATATTTGAGCAGAAGGACTGAACACTCTTTATTTTCCAGTCTGTTTGGCTTAACTGATGTCTTTTAAACATTTAGACACAAGGCATGAGGACCCCCAGACTCCCCAAGTGTTAAAATGTTAGGGGTGAGCCTGACCACTACCAGCCAGAACAGGTAGGTTCTTGAGGTCTCCAGAAAAGAAGCAGGCAGGAGGGGGGCTTTGTAGGGGCGACCCCCAAATCTGTGCTAACAAGTAATACTGCTATTACTAGTAGCGATTAACAGTCGTAACTATCGAACTCGCGGGTTCCAAGTAGTGTTTTATTCTCTCTCCCAACAATGTGAGAAGACAGATACTATTATTATCCGCCCCACGGTACACACGAGAAAATGGAGATGGTGGAAAGTGAGGTCCTTTGTCCAGAGTACCTAGTTAGCAGGTGGTAAAGCCAGGTGGCCTAAGCCCGGAGCTCACAGCCTCGTCTCAGCGGAAAGGGCCCCTTGCGGTGGGCGGGGCCTCCACGCGCCTCCACCCCCTACACGCACAAGCACGTACCGGCGCACGTACCTCTGCAAACGCAGAGGCCTCGTGCTGCATTCGGCACCGGGCTGGACCTGTGGGGACTTCCCTGCTCCCCAGAGCCCCGACATCCCCTGCCCTTTGGGGTCAGCAGCGAAGCATCTGTGAGATGAGCGGCCGCTGCTTCCGCTCCCTCCAGAGACCACGAGACCCACGAAGGCTCAGTGAGGGTGGTGGTGGCCCCATACAACCCTACCCCGTCCTCAGGCTCCACCACTCACCAAGTGGTCCCAGCACAACCCCGCCCTGTCACGGGCTGCGTGGGGCCTGTGCCACCCTGGAGGGCCCTGTACCCTGCTGACGGGCCTTGTCTTCCCTGCTGGTGCCCCTCCTCTGCACTCTCTCAGCCGCCGGAGCATCTTGCTTCAGGGCCTCCCCGGCGTTCCATTGTTCCCTAGACAAACACCAACAAGGTGCGGCTGTACCATTTTACAAGGAGGAAGGCCACCTTGTGAAAGATGACAACAGGCCCATCAAGCATTCTTGTTCTTTACTCGCCATCACAGGTGGAGAACCCAGCTGTGGGACAACACTGTACAAAACCTGTTCCCACCGGAGAGACCTGCTTCCCTGGCCTTCGGGTACCCGCAGGGCACCCCCACTGGGATGAAAACATCACGGGGTGCTTTCAGAAGGCCGCCTCATTCTCGCGGGGGAGCTCCCAGGCCCTGCCAGCACTCTTCAGGCTCTGGGCCACCTGCCCATCAGCCTCAAGCAAAAGGCTTCCCGTGGGGTGAATGGAAGGTCAGGGTCTCAGGATCAGCTGCCCTTCAAGGCTGGTCATCACCAGCCCAGCTACCCCAGCCTCCTTTCAGCCCTCCTGGGTGCTCTGTCCCTCAGACCACTGGGCCTTTGCACAAGCCATTTCTTTATTTAAACTCTCTCCGCTTGCATCTTCACCCAGTGAACATCTTTAGGTCCCTGCCAAGTCATTTCTCCCACAGAGAAGCCCCCACTGAAACACTGCTGCTCTCAGAGCCCCATGGAACATTCTGTCAAGCTACTTATCTCTATTTGTCAGTTTCTAGTCAGTAGGTAATTACTAACATCTGTCTTCCTCCTGGGCTGTCAGCCCCATGAGGGCAGAAATCACACCTGGTTTGATTCTTCCTTGTATCCCCAGCACATGGTAAGTCCTCAATATGGTATATTGACTGAGCAGACGAAGGATCCTTCAGGTTATCCCACTTTCCTGGGAGTCTGTGGGATTCCTTGGACAAGCGACAGAAATGATGGGATGAGGCAGATCAGGAGACCCAGCCCAGTGCCTGGCACACTAGGAGCTTAGAAAATGGTAGTTGTTTTGCCATTTTTGTTAGAATAATGGTGGTGATGATGACTTCTAAGCTACAAGGGACAACTTTACGTACCTCCACCCCTGTCAAGTAGGGATGATAATCCCATTGAAACGCTGGGGGCCCTGGCCCAACTATGTGCTATATGCCAGCAGGGGCAAGTGCTTTGAGCTCCTGGGACAGCCGCTGCCTCCCAGGTAAGGAGAGAGGGACCCACCAATCTTGGGCTCCTCCTATGGGCTTGGCATCTTGCAAAGGGATTTACGCATTTCATTTCCTTTCCATCCGATCCAGAGCTCTGAAAGGTAGGTCTCATCATCCACAGAGTATGGATGATGAAGCTGGGCTCAGAGAGGGCACAGAACTGGCCAAGGTCACATAGGTCCTAAGTGGCAGAGCTAACTAAGCCTTAAGTCCTATTCTTGCTGGTGCAGAAACAATTCAGCCCCATTGTGCCGCTGGCCAGGAAACCATAAAACCAACCACATTTCCTGAATGCTTGAACCTCTCCTCCAAGCCCAAGTCCTCCCAACGCCCCCGCTTCAAACGTCAGCTGAGGGCACAGCCAGCTGGAAGCCCTCCTGGATTTCCCTGCCTGGCTCTGGTCCCGCAGCCTTGGTTTTCTGTCACAGGTGCCCAACAGCAGGGGATTGCAGGGGCCCCATCCTGACCAGGCTAGGATTCAAAATGGCTCACAAAGGGTTTGTCGCAGAAACTCCGCCCTCGCTGGGAAACGCCCTGATGCTGTGCAGGAAGGGCTGTGGGCCAGACCTCCCCAGGAATCCAAGCTAATTCGCAGTTGTTTAGGAGGCAGCTCCTCAGTGACTCACTGTTTGGGCTCCTGTGACCCAGGCCAGGAGCCAGGGGCTGCCAGGAGGTGCCCTCATTAAAATCAAAAGGCAACAGTGAGCACCGGGGAGCCCCTCCCTGGAGGCCACGACTCACCGCCACGGGTGCTCCTGGAGGGGGGTGCAGGAGTCGGGGGGGCGGGGAGGCTCACCTCTCTGGCCCCTCTGCCCCCAAGTCTGCTCTCTCTGTGAGAGGGAGCCCGGCACGAAGACTTCCAGGAGGGGTTCTTAGCAAGGACTGGGAGGGGCAGGAGGCAGGGCCGCTGCCTAATGCACGTCAGTGTTCACCGACTGGACTCTCCTCTCTAAAACCTTTAATTCCAAAGCACTGCCAGGGATCCCTGCCACCAGCTTTCCTCTTCCTCTCCAAGGTAACACCTCCCAGGGACTGTGTCCCTGGCGGGGTGCGGTCTCCTTCCTGTCCGCAGTGCAAAACCCGGCCTCTCCTCCGAAAAGGAGGCCACGGCCAGGCCCCAAGTCGGCGCCTGCAAGGAGACATTCCTGGCCCCTGAGCTCAGGGCCACGGCATGGCTGATGTTTTCGTGGGCCTTTCCTGCATTTTGGGGGCGGCGGGGAGGGGGGAGGGGAAACAAGTAAAAAGCTAATGTTATGACCTCATGGAGATGGAGACAAATATAACCCAGCCTGGATTATAGGCATTCTTCTCTTCTGATTTTAAAGAAATTAAAACATTTTGAGGCACCTAAAGGTATCGTGGGTCTAGGCAGTGGGTCTACTGTCAACAATTAGTTCATCCCTTTGAACTGCCTGCCCCAAATCGTGGCTCGCCAGGAACTTAGGCGTGGGTCTCAGGTTGCCTCTCTATGAAGTGGGGGTGACGGAGGCACCCACGTCTTGGGGTTCATTGAGGGCTCCTTGAGATCCCACCTGGGGGGCTCGGCACAGCCCCGGCACGGAGTAAGTACTCTGTGCAGGCCACCTGCTTGGCTGCACTTGAGCTTCGCACAGAGGAGCCAAGGGTGGGCTGCCTCCTATCCTCATAATAAGAAAACCCAGGTTCAGAGCCAGGGAAAGGTCCTGCCCCAGGCCACATAGGAAACGGCAGAACCAGGACTCCAAGGCCATAGATCAGGCAGGTCCCAGGTCCCGGACATTGATGGAAGCTCTGCCTGAATGGGCTCACGGGAGGGGCCAGTGGTCAGCAAATGAGTCACGGGGAGTCCAGGGCCAGTGGCCCTTTGACATTTCTGACTGCGACAAAGCTGCCTCTCTGACCATAGGCACAGCAGCCCTCCCTGGGGACAAGCTGGCCCCCGGGGCTACTACCCCACTGTTTGAGAATTTGGGGAGAAAGAATTCACACCTGGGAGCATTTTCACTGCTTGTCTAACACCAGGAGACTTCCCAGGGAAGAGCAATGAGGAAAAATCCCTACGCTCAGCTGGCTAGGAGGCTCCTGGACAAGGGGCCTCCCAGACCCCTGTGTCCTGCTGGTGGTTACCCACTGGGTGACATGGAGGCCAAGTGCCAGGTGAGGGGCGGGAGCGGGGATCCCGCTGGGGTAGCCAGCTGCGGGGAAGCAGGACAGACTCGGCCCTCCCAAGCCCTGCGAACTCGAGCTTCTCAGCCTGGGTCTCAGTCACCGTATCAGTAAAACGGAGGTGGGAAAAAACGGAGAATGAAAAGCACCTGGCACAGCGCCTGCTCAGAGCCCCGTCGGCAGGAGCCAGCCATAACCTGGCGACAGAGGTGGGGGTGGGAAGGGCCCTGAGAACAAAGAGCCCCGGACTGCTCCCCCAAACTGCCTAGAAGCAGAGCTCACGCCCCGGGCGGGCCCCTCCCCCGGGGGCTTGGCTGAAGTGTCAGCCCTGGAAGTATCATTGCATCATTGGGCATTCGAGGGTTAATGACAGGAAGTAGACAGGACCCAGGTATTTAACTAATTGAGGAGGTGCCCTGAGATCAGAGGGGGCCGTGCTCACTTCCTTCTCCTGCAGCCCAGCTCCTCTGTCCCTGCTACCCTTCCCTTCCCCAGGATGAAGCCTCCTCCTCTTCTGACCGTCCTTTGCCTCCTGGGTAAGTGACCTTTGTGGCCTTCATCTCTCCCTGGACCCAGCTGGGAGCCCCTGAGCCTGGCCCTGGGGAGGGTGTGGTGGGTCATCTGACCTCAGTTCTGCTTGAGGGTCACTGACCACTGGCGGGGGCACAGGGGGAGGAAGGATGCAGCATGGGGGCCTGGGAGGCGGAGGAAGGGGCTGGCAGGGGCCCCAGTCAGCACACATGGGCCTCCCGTCACCCACTCCACCCCCGCCCTAACTTCCAATTTGGGAGGATCTGGAGGAATTGGGGACAGTCTGGGTGGTTAGGAGACATGGTGGGAATGGTGCTTCTGGGGCACAGGGCTGACACCTGGGGAGATGATCGGGACCCGCTGGGAGACACTTGGGGGAAAGGGGGGTATTCTGGGAGGCGGTGCAGGAGAGCGGGAGGGGGGTTGGGTGCAGTCACAGGAGGACAGGGGATCCAGGTGCAGTGGGTGTCATGGAGACATCGTTACTGACCAGCATCGTTGCTATTGAGAGCAAGGTGCGTGGAGACATGAGGTTAACTGGACAAGCAGAGCCATGTCTGGACTAGGACTGGAGGGGACCTCAGGGGACCCTCAAGGATCTGATGGCACCCGCTCTCCTTCCCTGCAGTGGCCCTGGCTGGTGGGAACCTGGTCCAGTTTGGGGTGATGATTGAGAAGGTGACAGGGAAGTCGGCGTTGCAGTACAACGACTACGGCTGCTACTGCGGCATCGGCGGCTCCCACCAGCCGGTGGACGAGACAGACTGGTGAGCCAGCGGTGGGGGCTGGGGCAGGGTCCTCTCTCGGGGGTGGAGGGGCTGGGGGATTGTCCTGGGAGGAGGGAGGAGCGCAGGCCATCTACGAAGTGGCAGCCACCTCTCCTTTGAGTCCCTTTGGGCCCCGGGCCCCCAGACAGTCCCTGGTGACCCTTCCAGGTGCTGCCATGCCCATGACTGCTGCTACGGGCGTCTGGAGAAGCAGGGCTGTGAACCCAAACTGGAAAGGTACCTTTTCTCTGCCAGCAGGCACAACATTGTCTGTGGTAAGTGAACAGCCCTAGGTGCTCCAGACGCTGGGGAGGGGCCTGGTGTCCCCATCTAGAGAGCCCCGTGACCCATTGCTCCTGCCCTGGCCCCAGCCCCCAGCGCTTCCCCTCACCTAGAGCCTCCCAACGCCAGCCTCTGGGGAGAGGAGCAACAGTGCAGAGCTGAGCCAGACCCCGGAGGGGCTGCCCTCTCGTACCCTCCCTGGGGCCTGGGCGGCAGCCGCGGTGCAGTCCCAGGACAGAGCCTCAAGGGCATCGTCCCAGAGGGCGCCAGAGCTTTGATTTGGGACAGCAGACCCGTTCCCAAAGGCTGGCGCCCACTCCCACCCCGGGGGCCTGCCAGGCTGGGCCCATTTGCTCAGCTTTGCCAGGTTCAGCGCCCACTTGAACCAACTTGCCTTCCTCCGGGCCCGGCCCTGGGAAGCGGCCTGAAGCACGTGAGAGTGAGCGGGGCTTCTCGCAGCCCAGCTCCCCTGGGGAGCCCAGCCCAGATAACCAGGGGTGCCTGGAGGGAGAGCAGCCCCAGCGGGGTGCACAGGGAAGGACAGAGAGGGTCAAAGGAGACTCCGCTCCGATCTCTAAGGTCTGTCCTGGGGGAGGGCGGAGCCGGGACCGGAACCAATGAAGGCAGACTTGGCTTGGTTTCTTGCTCCTGCAGCCACTCAGCAAGGCAGCTTTGTGAGGGAGTGAGCTCCCCGTCACTGGGGTTTCATGCAAGGCTCGGATGGCCATCTGTCAGGACAGGGCTGGGAGGTGCCAGGTGGGTTATGGACGCAGGCTTGGGGCTTTACCTGCTACCCACTGTGTGACTTTGGGGGCGCAATGGATCACCTTGAAAGCCTCTGCCTCTTCATCTATAACGAGCAGATGATTACTGTCACTTGCCAGCAATAGCCCAGCTCCCGCACTGATGCGATGGCTAAGCCCTTCCAGCTCTGAGTTTCGCTGGTGTAGCAGCATGGGCAGAACCTGGATGGGACCTGGAGACCAGCGTTCAAGGAGGGGATGAGCCTGGGCATTTCTGAGCCATGAAACGCATTCCTGGGGACAGACAGGAGCCAGAGCCACACGGGCAGACAGAGGCAGGGAGAGAAGAGGAGGCTTTGGGCCCCAGTTCCTGATGCCAGTTCTGATTTCCCGGCTGGGTGTGGGCCCACAAATTGAGGGGGGGAACAATTGAGTAAATGCCAGAAAAATGGGTTCTGTCCACTCATAGAAAGAGCACAGGGTCTCCAGCATCGGTCCCAACAGCCTCCATGGGCATGGGCTGCTCTGGGTCCACACCAGCCGTCTGGGACCGGCTCACTGTCTCATTTCATGATTTTCCCCTCTGCTTCTGGCTGCAAACCACCGTCAACGATGAGATGATGCTTTGCATGGGGAGGGGAGCTGCTTAGAAAGCCCCCCAGGCTGGGGCAGATGAGAGATAGGGAACCAGCTGTCCAGACTTCTGGGGGGGGGTGGGGGGGCGATGAGCTAAGAACAGACTAGCGGGCTGGGGGGACGAGGGACACACTTGCAGCCTTCCAGCATCCTGGCCCCAGCAGGCCCTCCTGTGCCCCACCCTATCCTCACCTATCCCTGAGGCACCCCCTTTATGAGAACGACTTCCAGCAGAATGGCGGGGGTGAGGATGTGGCCCCCAGGATCGGTCCATGTGTGTGAGACAGGAGGCGGAGCCTCTGGTCCCTGACTGGCCTTGTCCCATCAGGCGGCAGAACTGCCTGCCAGCGGCAGACCTGCGAGTGTGACAAGACAGCTGCACTCTGCTTTCGCAAACACCTGGGCACCTACAACCGCAAATACGCCCATTACCCCAACAAGCTGTGCACAGGACCCACCCCGCCCTGCTAAGGCTGAGCCCCATCTCCTCCCTGTGGCCTTCCGAGGCCCCCAACTCCAGGCCTGGGGAACACTGGTACCAAAGGCTGTCCTTCTGGAAAATGTCTTTCCTGCAAACCCATTCCTCCCTGAAAATGCCCAGACTGTGACCTGGACCATCGCGGGCCTCCCAGGCCACATACCCCTTAGGAAGAGCCACACCCTGGACCCTTCAGCCGAGGAGACTCTGTAACCCACCCCTGGAATCTCAGATCCCTCCTCCGAATAAGTGAATAATGTTTCCCATAATTCTAATGGTCTCTGGTTCTCAGATTCTGTCACTGATTAATCTACAGTTTCACTCACTCACTCATTCATTCACTCCATGTGAGCACCTCCAATGCGCCGGCCACAAGCTGAGCACCAGGACACAGCAGACACAGGTCCGACCTGGGTGGCCTCTGCCTGAGATTCCAACATTCTGTCCTTTTGATTTTCCATGATAGTAAGTTTTTGGTGATCCTTTTTCTAATATTCTATGATCTTATGCAAGACAATAATGGCAACCTCTGGCCATGTGGGATGTAGAAGCATGAAAAATACCAACCTAAAAATACTGTCCCTATTATGCCGGAGAGCTTCATTCAAATCCCTCCCACTAGCAGACAGGCTAAGAGTGAAAAAGCAGCTCTCGAATCATCTTACTGAAATTCCTCTTTTGACACACGGGCATCCAGGGGCCAGAGAGGGGAGGTTCTAGCTGAGGGGTCCTCACTTCCAGGCCAATGAACCTTCACTTCTTCCTGGGTTGGAATCAGCCACTGATACGTAACCCTCTGGTTGTCATCTTGGACAGACCAGAGTGCCTTGACCCAGTCGGGCTCCTTAGCGAAAGGGAGGGGGAAGAAAAGATGTGAACATCGTGGGGCTGACTCTGGCACATGAAGAATTTAATGCATTGATGGAGTCCCACCAGGTAGCAGTCAGCCTGTCCTGGCAGCGGTGGGCTTTGGCAGATTCTACTCCTTGATATGGATAGGTCTCCACTATCTATAACGTGCTGATAAACTCTTCCGGGATTGGGGTGAGCCCATTCAATGGGATGAAGGATGTAGAAAGGCATTTCACAGGGCAAAGCTCACAGTAGACACGCGATAAAGTGAGGAAATCAAAGGATGGTTGTCATAAACTTTAAAAGGTGATGAAGTTCTGTGCTAGCAAAAGGAGGGGGCCAGGTGTGCGGGCTTTGCTCAGTAAAGAACCACCAGAAGGCCAGGTGATAGCGCGAAAAATGGATTGCCTGGGAAAGAGGAGCCGCATTTGCTGGGAAAAGTGGTCCTGAGGCGCCCTCTGGTGGCCATTTTATTCAGGCTACTAGAAAGAAACCTAGATTTGCTTTGACCTTCAATTTTCCTTCATAGGAATGGGGGCGAAGTGTGCTTCTGAGCTAGTGAAATCATTCCCCTTGCATTTTCAATAATAAACATGCTAAGAAATAACCTAGTAAGCCCTTACAACCCTCTGAGAATGATGGTGCTGCTGCATAAATGAGAAACTTGGGAAGAAGAAACTGACTTGGGAGAGAGGGCGGACTATGTTCCAGGTGGGATGGGTTTCAGGTAGCACCAGGGCGAGGACCTGGTGATCTGGCAGCTGTGTAGCCTTCCAGCGAGGTGAAAACGGAACTTGAGAACAAGACTTCAGTACACCTGTTGTGACCTTCTGACCACAGAACAGGTCATCCCTGTGCGTTCCCAGACATCAATAAATGTTTGGTGAATAATCAATGGATTTGTGTAAATTCTGTGTTTGTGCATGTGTATGTCCATAGTACACGCACTTGATTTCCTGCTGCAGACTTGTAGAAAGGACTGAAAAAAATGAAACAGAACCTTGAACTTGAGGGCAGAGGGTCCAGGGACAGACCTACTGCTCTGCCATTCAGCAGTAATGCATCTGTTCTTGAGCTCCACGGCTCAGTGTGGCCCATGACAGCAGCAGCAGCAGCAGCGTCAGGCTTGTTAGAAAAGCAGGCTCTCAGACCTGACCCCGGACCCACGGAGTCAGAATCTATAGGTTAACAGGACCCCCCGGGTACCTCGTGAACACGCTAAAATCTAAAAAGCACTGGCATATGGACACCCCCCCACCCCAGCTTCCAAATTTGTAGAAGAATGACATTTCCCTGGCAGGCTCATTGTGGCAAGGCTTAAATAAGGTAGCGTGTGTGAAAGTGCACAAAATAGTGCCTTGTGCATACTAAGCATTCATGTTCTATGAATGAATGAATGTCCTAGTAACAGTATTAGCTAACATCTATTAGGCATGTGGCATTTACTAGGCACTGTTCTCAGTATTTTTTAATTCAATGAAAGAAAGAGAGGACAGGAGGAGGGAAGGGGGAAGGAAAGGAAGGGAGGGAGGCATACAGGGGCTGTATCAATGCTGGAGAAGGGACTTTGTTGCCTAACTATATCATAGCTGGCCTCTCCTATTTTGATAACGGGATTTGGATTGGTTTTGCTTTTTCTCCCATTTAGCCCCCTAATAAAAGCTATTAACAAAGTACTCGGATAAATATCTTGCCGAGTAAATGATTAGAAATCACACTGGCATTCCCGAGTTAACTAGAGTTCGACCATGGTTTCGTGGACACTCGTCTGCTGCTTTGGGGTTCTCTGCGGAGTCACTGCTGGAGAACTGAATACTGTATTAAAGTTCTCTCCCCTTCAGTGAGCTTTCCTACAAACTATGCTCCGGCTCCGTGCTGACTGCAGAGACAGGGCCAAGCCAGATGTGTCCAACCAGCAGACAGACACCCGCAGTGGTCCCCGCAGCTCAGGTTGGAGTTCCAGAACCAAAGGCTCTTTAGCCCTCCATGCTCCCTCCAGTCACCCATGCCACCTTCACCTTCCCACAGCGTGACATGCATCACGTCTCTGCTCTGTCCCCAAACCATCACCAGCTCCCTGCTGCCCGCCAATCCCTGTCACTCAAGCTTGGCAGCGCCTGCTTTTCCTGCCTTGTTTGCCCAGCTGTTTCTCTGTGTTCCTCATCGTACCCCAAACGTCCCGCTGCCTTCCTGCCTTCACACCTCCGTGCAATAGCTTCCTTCCGCCTAGAGGCTTCCCTGTCCACCGGCTCCTTGTCGCCACGTTGAAATCCACGTGGGGTAAGGCACATCTCAAATGCCACCTTTTCCATAATGCTCTTCCACCTGGAGCAGGTTTCGCCCTCCTCTGAACTGCTGAGCAATATGTTACTTCCCTGTTATTTGGGTCCCCGTTTTGGCCCTGGGTTCAAATTCATGACCTTGGACAAGTTATTCATTCCCTTGTGTGTAAAATGGGGATAGAACCATCAGCCTACAGTACGGTTGTTAAGGTTTAAATGAGACTTGTTCAAAGTTCCTGGAGCATTCTAGAAGTTCCATCTAGGCTAGGTCACTTGACTTATTTTTGCCTCCCCTATTGTATCTATCACACAATAAAGGCTAAAAATGTATCTGTCCCATTGAATGAATCCATGGACACCTAATTGGGATTATTTTAGGGAAGTGGCATCACACAGATGGTAACTGATTTGTCTGAATAGCCCCTTGGCTCACTACTCTGAGTGCTCACTTCTCTTAAGTGGACACGTTTGAAAATCACTAACCTTGCGTGTCCTGAGCTGACATCCCTGAAAGGCAGAGGCAAAACCGGCTGGGGAGAGCACACAGCATTTTTCTTGGGGGGCTTCTACCCATGACGTGTGCCAAGGTCAAAAGGCTCACATGAGCCAACTCCTGACGATGAAACGCAATCAGGATGCACTCAGTATGCCTGACCTTTGGAATTTGCTCAGCGAGAAAAGCATCCGTCTTCCAGCAACAAAAGGCACGTGACTGCCGTTTTGTAGCTCAGTCTCTCTCTAAACGAATTGCATGACCTCAATCTTGTCCTCAATATGTGCAACAGCCCACTCTAGGGCTGTGTTTGCGCTGGTCCTTCAGTCCAAAATGCCTTTGCTCCCTATTTCCACATCCTGCCTCCCCTCCCATGCCTAGTCCCGATGTCGCTTCTGCCCCCGGCCTTCCTTGAGGTCCCTTCTGAATGCACAGTGTTCATATCAGTACCTCCTCTGGGGCACATGTTCTCTCCACTTTCACTCTGGGACTGGATGCAGTTGAGGTCCACCTCTGATTCAATGCCCAGAAAAAAGAACCCATACATAGTACAGGTTCAGTAAACATGGGGAGATTCCTAGATGTCTGGATGGGTGAATAAACCAAATAAAAATGGAGTCCTTGAGACGCCCAAGTCCCTCAGCCATAGGGAGGCCCAGATAAGTTTCTCCAAAGTGGCAAACTTTGCCTTCTACAAAGCCTGAGCCGATGAAGTGGCAGGATTGGTCTTGACCCTTTACAGCCAGAACAGTGCTAAGTGCCTGCCCCGCGATGTTCAGGAGTGCCCCAGCCAGGCCATCCTGGAGCAGGGCATTTTCTGACACACCTTGATTGCGCCTCCAGGCGCGCGCGCACATCCCTGCATTAGTGGGAAGGGCCCTGTGGTGTCGGGTGAACGGGTAACTCTAAACCTGGATTCCGCCTTTCTCCTAGGCAACCACGAGCTGTTACAGAGACATTCTCAGCCCCCCAGCCCCACCCGCCATAGGACATTTCAGACAGGACATTTCAATCTTTGGCTTCATAAATCCTCACTCACCTGGAGTCAGCAATGCTGAAGCCTAGAGGACAATATAAATACTAACCCTTGTGCTGATTGTCCCTTTCTTGGCCTGAGAATATTCCTGTGTCCTTCTGGACACCCGATCTCACAGACTTAGAGCTCACCCCAGCCTGGCCCGGCCCGAAGCCCCCCGCCCCAGCTTAATCATTGGAGAGAATTAAGGGGGCCACCGAAGTCGTCTCAGGCAGGATCTTTCAGCAAGGACCTCAGTAGGGTTTACAGGGTCCAGAATCTGGGCCCCACGTGCTTGGGAACTGGTTAACATGTGTGCACCGAGGTCTTGGTTATAGAACAAGGCGAAAATCACACAAGGGGCTGAAAACGAACCTCCTCTGGTACTAATACTTTTTGTTATCTGAGTGTCACCGAGCCAGTTCAAGGGCTACTTGATGAGGACAAAATTAGGAGAGCAGGAGTCTCGAGTTGCAAAGCCAAGGCGAGGCCAGGTGAAACCAGCCTTGACCTCAGGGTTGACCAGAGGCCTGGGGTGGGCGGGGCCAGGCCTCCCCTTTCCTTTCTCAGGGCCTCTTCCAGCTGAGTCACTGCTGCCCCTGTGTGTCTGGCAGAGTGTGCCCGCGCCCCGCCCCCCCCAGAATGGGGTCAAACTCTCAGTTCCCGAGAAAGCCCAAGGTGGCAGCCACAGACAGCTGCTCCCTATTTCACCGCTCCAAATGATCAGAGATGATCTTGGACATCAAGCAGGAATCCCAAGTGTCCAGCCCTTCAGGGCAGCCCTGCCAGTGCACACTCACCTGCACTAACACTCCAATCCGCTCTTTTGAGCTCAGCGAGATCCAAATGCCCGTGCGCCGAGACACCACTCAGTGAGAACACACACCTTCCGCGCAAGGTCTCTGAGAAGGACACCTCGCAGGAAGCGCTCTCCGACTCCTGCACTCCGACAGTGGGCGGTCAGAGAGGCGCAAAGAGCTTGCAACTCTGTCTTTAAACTAGAATTTATTGGTATACAATAAATTTTTCATAGATAAAGTGGCACATCTTTGCAGCTTCTATTGCACCAAGTATTGAAGATTAAAAACACAATGAAAGAAACATTTGGTTTTGAAAACACTGCAAATAGCCAAGTACAGTACTTTGGTAAATAAAAAATAAAACAGTTCGGATTAAAACAATCTGTGGAAAGAAACAGCCTAGAGGAAATGGACTGTGGACACCAGACAATGGTCACATTTCTCCTGTCGAGCTCCTGGATAAGGCAAGGCTTGCTAAGTCTATGGGTCATGACCCCACGGAGGTCTTACATTTATCTCCAGACTGAAGCTAGAACAAGTATAGTGCAATTCGAAAAGAAAGAAGGTTCCTGAGCCTGCGAAGCCCGCGTGCTCCACAGACACACGCCCTCCTTCGCGAAGGAGACTGGCGCCCACCAGCACGTCGACCTCAGGAAGAGGAACATGGAGGTTTAAGGTCCTGGCTCTTTTCTTCTCCCTGAGCTCAGTGCTGGTGGCAAATGCTGGAAGGGTGGCATCTGGGGGAAATGGACAGGGAGAACAGGAAGACGTGAATAGCCCCATTCCAGCGCTCCTCGTGTTTTGGCCGAGGGACCCGCCAGGCTGAGGCCTGCGACAGAGCTCACATGCTTGCCGCAGACGGCTGGCCACAGTGGCCCGCGGGACGCAGGCCCCAGAGGCTCTGTCCAGAGATCACTGGCTTCCCGGCCCACCAGCCTAGGGAGCGGAAGAAACTCTGCGTCCTGGGTGTGCTCTGCTTAAACAAAGTCACCGTGCAGAAGTGCGTGCTTTTAGAGAAATGCATTCTTTACCGGTACCTCCCTCTTCTCAAGTTACTTTGCAAGGATGCTAAACATTTTAATTGAGCTACAAAGTAGTCTGAACAAGGATAGAGAGGAAGACTCTAGGAAGTAACCCCTTAGAGGAAATGGTCAAGAAGAGCCTAAGGGTTTCCCAGGGATTTTACCTGGGACAGGGCCGGGCGGGCCGGGCGCCCAGCTCTCCCCTGGGGCCCGGCTCCGCGGCGCGCTCGGGGGGCCTGCGCTGCGCAGGTGCTCTGTGAGTGGCGCTCACTTTCCCCACTCAAACTGGTTGTCCACGTGCCCTGATAGGAGACAGCGGAAGATGTGCTATAGTTTAAAAGTGCCATCTAGGTGTCTAACTCAACACCAGTGGAAAAACACATCTGCTTTAGGGTCAGGAGAGCACACCCTGGACACAGCGCCTCAACTGTCTCACCCGGAACAACTGTCGGGAGGCCCTGGAGCTTCAGCGACACCTGCTCCGGAGGCCGAGATGGCTGAAACCGCGGATCGTGAAGATGACGGGACAGAAAGACTGCGCCCGACTGGGAGTCTAACGGTCTGCTGCGGAGCCTTGAGGTAAAGAGGTTAAGAGCTATGCACCCACCCAAGACAGGGCCCAGAGGGGGCCCCAGGCATGACGGCCAAACCCGGCAGCTGTGCCCGCCCTGCCCGCAAGGGCCCTGTGGCCAGCGTGACTCAGTCAGCCCTGACGAGGAATCCCAGTTCCCTTCCGCCGGCCCAGTGGCCGAGCGGACTGTTCCACGGAGGAAAGCTGATAGCCCTGCGTTAACCCAGTGCAGCCCAGGCGGAGTCTAGTTTCTCAGCAGGGGAGAAACTGCACACGGATGACAGGGGCTCGACAGGGGGCCGATCCACGCCGGGTGCACCCGACAGCCCCTGCTGCACACGGGGGCAGCTCTGCCCTGCTTGGTGCGGCCTCCCCCCGCCCGCCCGCCGCCATCTCGCTTCACGCTGTCAGAGCCCCCGGGGAGCAGGCACTGTAAGTCGCCCGTGCAAAGGCTCCCTCGAAGCCCGGCGCTAAGCACCCCGTGAGGGAGGTCCCGCCTCGCAGGGCCTCAGATCTAAAATGGGTTTGGAAGTGTCTTCAGAGCTTGGAAAACAAACTCCAGGCCAGCTCAACTAACATTTAAGATACTTCTTTCTGCCACAATTCCTCAACCAGTACTGAAAGTGTACGTTCATATCGTTGAAAAATTACATATGCACGTACGTTCCCTCTCTCTAGTGTCTCCTGGTGACAACGCTATTACCTAGAAGTTGTGGATCTAAGTTGTTTTAATACATCTATCTCTCTAGTACAAAGCTGTTGCCACTACAATTTTATTTGTTTTGACTTTTAAAAATGTTTTTTTTTAATTCGTAAAACCTTTATGGACAGTTTATAAGACTAGTAAGCAGCTACGGATCACTGCCCCGTCCCTTTCTCCTGGCCTCAGGGAAAGCTGCCAAGAAACCCCATTTAACAGCGGAGACGTAACAGAAGCTAAAAAAGACCCACCTCCTACCAGGGAGCAGTGAGTGACTGACAGCAGCCATTCAGGACTGAACACAGTCTCCCTTCTGGCTGCCCATAAAGGGATTTTCAAGTGACTATGAAGGCAACTAAGTATACAGATTCCATCCACCTCATTCTTCAGTGAAGCTGAGGCGGTGAAGTCTGAATTCAAACCCTTAGCTAGAAGATGTCACTAAAGTAGGATACGTTTACCCCATCCCTAATAATTAACATACTGAACAGACTAATATAACTGGAAAGCTATAAAAGAGCAATAAAAGAAAATTACTGAAGCCATTTGATTAGTTTTTAAAACCGCTGTTACTCTACCCGAGAGAGGCTGGGGCCTGTCATCAGAATTAGGTAATCTATAAATAAATGTGCCCCATATTCTTTTTTAACTTTTTAGCAGCTTCTAAAACTTCTAAAACCCACTAGGGCCCAAGGCCACCTTCATTAACAAAGTAAATAAAGCAATCCGACCACTTCTGACAAAGAGCCTCCCTTAGGCTACTTTTAACTCCTGATTCTGCTGAATTCCTGGCACACAATCTTCATCTGAGACTCTGGTCTCCTGCACTCTCATAGTTCAAAACAGGCAAGAATGAACATTCATTCAAAAAAGCTCAGCCCGAGTTAGGGATGTGTCCAGAGCTGAAAGCCCTGACGTCACGCCCGTGAAAACAGTGAGGCGGTGGAGATCCCTCACTTGTCTGGACTGAGCTCTAGAGCCTCAAACTCTGGGCTCGGCACGGTGCAGGGAGAGAAGGCTGTGCAGTGTCTCAACCTGCTGACTTGGGCAACGCACTGTGCCAGGAAGATGCCCAAACTACAATGTCCTGGGAGTGACTGCTAGAGGAGGCTCATGCTCCCACCCCAAAAAGTCACCAAAGGAAAAAAAAGCAAAAAATTAAAACACATCATTAAATCGAAGAAAGCAAATCGCCTATCGACAGACAATTCAATAAATCCAGGGCCAGCCCAGACATAGCATGTCTACACCTGTCGATACCTTTTCATAGCTTTCTCTTCACCTCAAACTTTGAAATCTGAGGTGGCAGAGGTAACCGTTTACCTTTTCATGGGCATAACTTATCTGTCTAAATATTGAGTCCACTTCAGACATCACAGTTTTAAAGTTCACATCCACCTAACTCAGTGTGAGGAATGACCTACCTCCACGGCCCAAATCTGTCTATTTCAGAACTGCAGAGTCACTCACAGTCCTCAGCCAAGGCCCATTCTCTGCCCTGCTGGTCTAACCTGACTCCCTAACAATTCGTGGTGGGCACTAGAGAGTTTTTCCAGCATCAGAATCCCAAGTAGGGTTTAAATAAAGAGAAATAAATGCAGCATTGTAATGGTTCATTTTCACAACACACACACAAAAATTTAGCAACAGGTCAGGTTACCTCTTATTTCCCCAAAGGCATCTAAGTCTAGAAAAGTAAGGAAGAAAATAGTTACTTACAATGTGAAGACAAACCACCTTAGATATACTCTTCCCGACATCCCCCCTACAAAATCAAGTAACTTCAGCCTCTTCCTAGGCCAACACTCAAGAACAGCCTCGATTTCTCCTGCTACAACTCCCACACTACCAGAATCCCGAACTCTGCCGTAAGCAGTCACATGCCACCTTCCCATCGTCCAAACACAAGCACCAAAACTTCAACAACACTACCGACTCTCCAGCAAAGCCCAGGCCTCATTAACAGGCAGGCGCACAAATCATATGGCTTGAGTGTAAACAAACGGACAGCACCTGCACCCCACCTGAAACGGCAGCAGGGTCCGGAGGGAGAGGAACAGGGTTCGGAGTCCCGCCCCCACTGCAGGCCACAGCCGCCACCTCACAGTGGGGTGGGAGAGCGGAAAACATTTCCTGAAGTAATTTCTGACTAATGTGGGTTAAGAGAAAGTTAAACCTAAACATGTTCCTGAGTTGGAGATCGTTTACAGACTATCTTGTATACTACTGTATCTGGTCAAAAATGAAGAACAAAGGAAATGTGTCATTCTGAATCTCCAGCAAGTAATCTAAACTACTTCATGAACAATTACAGCAAAACTCACCCCAAAGCTTAAGGAAAGATCCCAGGGCCACTGGACTCTGATTTTCAGAATTTTTAGAGCGAATGGTGCCACACCTAAGAGGTTTTTACTGACCTAGCTATCCACCCGAAAACTCAACATTTTTATTACAGAACACAAATGGCTTCACTGAACCTTCATAAAATGAAACACATCACTAACAAAACTTGGAACACAACAGGGGCGACGGAAGGACACGACTCAGTGTGAGCCCCCATGGGGCTCTGCGGCTGCTGCGAAGCACAGCCTCCCTGGGGAGCCCCGGCCCAGCACGGCCTCTCCGCCCGCTTCCCGCAATGCCCAGCCGGCCAGCGTGAGTCAGATGTTGAGAGCAGCAAAGGTCTTCACCAAGGTGACCTGCGCATTCGCCTCGGCTTCGCTCCTGTTGTTGTCCCTGTGGCCACTCCTGCTCTCCAGGGCTTTGTGACGGTGCCTCTCCTCCTGTCGTTTCTTTTTCTCCAGGCGCTGCTGCTCTCTCCGCTGCCTGCTGGTGACCTGGAAGAGAAGACAGCGGGGTGAGGCGCCGCTCGCTGACTCCGGCCGCGCCCGCTGAAGGGGGTGCGGGGCTGACGGTGGCGCAGGGCACAGGCCGCCCTGCAACGAGAACAGGACAGAGAAACCCCGCCAAACAGAGCACACACAATGTAGTTTCCATTACTGCTCAAATTTCCATTTAAATTACATAAATTACGTGTACGCATGGGGGGACGGTGCAGCGAGTGGGATGTCAACCCTTCTGGGAAGCACTTGGCAATGTACGAGAAAGCCTTAAAAAAATTCAAATATCCATGCCCTTTAACCTGTCACGTCCTCTTCTGGGACTTTAGCCAAGAAACTAGCGCAAAATACAGATTTATATAAATAAATGATGCAGGTGCTCACTGAAGATGATGATATTTATTGAAATATGGGACTATTTAGTCCTGGCCAGGTGGCTCAGTTGGCTGGAGCATCATTCCACAAACCAAGAGGTTGCAGGTGTGGTCCCCACTTGGGGCGTATATGGGAGGCAACTGATCGATGGTTCTCTCTCACATTTATATTCCTCTCTTTCTTTCTCCCTTCCTGTCGCTCTAAAATCTCTTTTTTAAAAATGGGACTTTATAGCGTGAATTAACACGGAAAGCAGCCGTACCCACAGGTGAGGAAGGATGACGCACGTGTACACACAGAGTACAACTTCCGTGTGTGCTTCCTTCCACTCACCCCTGGGGACGCCACAGAGCACAAGGGAGGTCTTTGTTCTGCTTCCTGCTAACCTTTATGCGCTCCCCATATTTTCTACAACTTCTACTTTATAAATCAAAAGAAAATTATGCATCAAAATGAGCCCCAAGGTCCCACCACTGCCGAGTCACAGCAGCCCACCACTCGCCCTTGCAGCCCCATCTTCCATACCTTTGGGAGCTGGTTTTTATTGGCTTTGCTCTCTTCACTAGGGCTGGCCCGCACCTTATTGTTGTCAGTCCTGACTTCATTTAAGCCCTGATTTCCAAAGATCCTGGTGCCACTGCCACCCTCCTCCCATAAAGGACCACTCTGCTTCAGCACTCGGCCACTGGACTCAAGGTTCTCCTCTGCATCTTCCAAAGAAAGATATTTTATTAAAATTGAGAACCAAAGATGGTTACACAAGTCAATTCCTGTTAAATGACGCCAAAATTACCTTGGTCCCTAGTTCGCTCTCATCTGGAGAGTAAGTTTCCTTGAGGCAAATTCTAGTATCAAGTCAATACAGCAGGGCACATAGGGGAAAAATACTGGTAAAATTTGGGAATTTATAAGTAACCTGTTGACCAGCCTCATCATCACCTTCCCACCAGAGAGTGTCTTGTTTAGACAAACCACTTTTCAACATGAATATTTAGGGGGAAATCTTTCATTTGCACCCCAAAACCAGAAAAAGAAACAAGCTGTAAAGCTGTGCTATACAGTACAGTAGACACTAGTTACATAGGACTAGTTAAAGTTAAATAAAATGTAAATTGTAGTTCCTCAGCCTCAGGTACATGTCAAGTACACAACATACCAGGCAGCACAGGTACTGGACAGGGTTGCTTTAAAGTCACAAAGACCAAGTTATTTATTGCTTTCTAGGAAGGCACAGCAAATATATAAAGTACATAATAAAATACTCCGTAACATAGAAAATAATAATGCCAGGAACAGTATCTGGTACATAATATCTGGCAATAAATATTGAAATCATTTTAAATAAATGACCTGAGAAAACAGTGAAGACATCACATCTTCTTTCCTTCCTCTGTGTCACAAAATTAAACTCAGTTCAAGTAAAAATAATTCTGAATTGTTACCAGTTGATAGATGTTAGTAATCTAAATATTTCCATTGGAACGATAAGGTATTTTTCTCTCCATTCAATTTAGTCATCATTTTGATTTTAAAAAGAAATCTTATTTCTAAAAAGATAAGTCTCCCCTGACACTCTCCAAGCCTCCACATCTGGGTTGGGGGACCCTCCCACACACTCCCCAAGCCCCCACGCCCGCAGCTGCATCACGCACCACTGCGCCCGCTCACACGCCGGTCCCCACCACCAAGACACGCCCTGTGGCAGGGCTAGAACCTAGGGAATGGCCTGCACAGGAAGTGCTCAATAAATGAGCTAAATGAATAAATAAAAGGACAGTATAATTACCACCTGCGACTTGATTAAAAATAAATATTTGGAAAATTACCAATACAATCATTTTGAAAGCTTATAAATATTAATCATGGACTTACTATTTCTTTTCCCCTGGTTCATCTGAAGCATGGTAATTATTGCAGATTCAATATTATAATTTTCAGCTTCCAGGTTCTGGACTATCAAATTAAAATCCTATCCAAGAAACAAAGAAACACTTCAAGACTCTGGAAATACTTTTCTACCTCTTTCTACTGCCACAATTTGATAAACAAAATGATGTAATAGTGAGAATTGAGACAAAGTTTCAAGATCTTTTCCATTTAGAAAATGATGGTTTTCCATGAGGTTGGTCACCTGAAAAACCAGTGAATATAAATAAATTCCCTTTATAAAATACTTTTACTTGTACAAACACGAATCAGAAAAAAAAAATAAATCCACATGCTTCCTTGGGATTTTGAGCAGTATTGGGTTAAATCTAGCACACAAGAGAGAAGTGAATAAACAGCTCTCACTAAGCTGTATCACACAGCCTCATCAGATTCCAAATATCATGGACCTATCTTGGCCAGGAGACGCTGGCACGGTGGACGAGGCACAGCAACGCTTGCTTATGAACCAGGGCTACTGTGGGACAGAAATACTAACTGAACAGCCAGTGGCGCTGCAAACTTTCTGGACAGCATCTTCCACTTCATCTTGCAGGTCATCTTCAAAGTCAACTCCCTTTGTCTTGATCTTTTCTCTCTTATTTGATTCATCTTGATGAAGTATCTGAAACTAAAAGAAATATTACGAGTAATCATCATAGAACTCTTGCAAACTATGTTCAGAATCTTCAACTAAGGAAGACACTCTAATCTCAAAAACATTCAAATATATAAGGAAAAGATTCCAGAAACAATCTTAAGAGCTAGGACAAGGTTTAATTTCATCCAGGTTCTGATATTCCAGTCCACAACAGAAGTATCAGAGAGAAATGCCCAAGATACGGGATCAACTGTTCAGTAAGAACGGCATTAGAACACCGATGGTCTGTAGATACCTACACTTTGGCCATGGCTGCTCACTCAGACACGTATTTGTCTCAGCTGATTTCTGGAGGTGTGAGCTTAGTAACAGAGAAAATCCTCTACACCAGCACCTGACAAGCTCTGTGTCAGGACAGCTCGTCCTGAAGAAAGTTACACACACCTCTCTGGTCCCCTAGGTCCTATGAGCTATGATGTGCTGAAGTTCCTGTCCCAACTGGACAGTCACAAGTGAGCATGACTACTCTAACCTCACATGCATATCACCTCACTCAAGGGAATCTGTCCATCCAAATTCTGAACCACAAAGAGCAGCTCACTTAGAATCCGTTGTGCCTTTATCAAGAAAAACTAAACCCTATGCCTACATCAGAAAAGCTAAAATCATCCATCTGTAGCTGCCTAATCACCTTGTCCTTCTGCTTGCTATTAATGCAGAGAAAAGGGGAATGGGTGAGGCCATTTCAATCTTATGCATGTAAAAGCGTAAGTGGAATCCAGCAATGTGCTGTATTCAAGTGTTAATAAAAAGCAACCCATTATAAAACTATATTCTAACAATTTGGCGATGAGTATCAAGAGTCTCTGAAATTTATCCAAAGAAAATAAAGTCAAGTATAGAAAGGATTTACATGAAAGTGCTCATCACATTGCTACTAACAGTGGTGAGTAACTGGAAACAAGCTAATGGTTTCATGGCGTGGGTAATGTTAAATAACCATGATGCTTCATTCCCACTAAAGCAAGGACCACAATAAGGACTTTCACTACTACCATTATTATTTCTCAATGTTTCAGAGGCAACAGTCAATGCAATTAACACCCCAAAAATTAAAGTATAAAATTAAAAAGGAAGAAGAAAAGTTACCATTATTGGCAGATACTAATTCTATACCTAGAAAAAAATACTACAAACAGGAAGGATTCTGGCAAATCATATATTCAATAAGAACCTAACATCCAGAATATATGAAGAACTCTTACAACTTAACAACAACAAAAGCACAAACAACCCAATTAAATCACCAGCAAAGGACTTGACATTTCTCCAAAGATACAAATGGCCAAGAAACACATGAAAAGATGCTCAACATCATTAGTCACTATGGAAATGCAAAGCAAAACCACAAGATACCACTTCACAACTAGCAGGATGGCCATAGTTTTAAAAATAAAGAAAAATAACAAGTATTAGGAGAGATGCAGAGAAAGTGGAGCCCTCAATACGTTGCTGGTGGGAATGTAAATTGGTGCAGCAACTGTGGAAAACGGTGTCGCAGCTCCTCAAAATGTTAAACACAGAATTACCATATTACCCAGCAATTCCACTCCTAGGTGTGAACTGAAAAGACTGAAAACAGGCACTCAAACAGTCTTACACACAACATTCACAGAAGTGCTATTTACAATAGCTAGAAGGTAGACACAACCCAAATGCCCATCAACAAATAAACGCAGCTGAACGAAATGTGGTGTGCCCACACCGTGAAATATTATTCAGCCTGGAAAAGGAAGGAGCAAGGCGGTGACATGAGCCACAACATGGATGAACCTCGAAAACTGCACGGCCACCTATTGTGTGATTCCATTTACATGAAATCCAGAGCCGGTCGGGGTGGCTGGAGGACGCAGGAAACGGGGAGCGTCTGCTGAACGGTGTGGGGTTTCCTTCTGCGATGACGCAAGTGTTCCGGAGCTGGGTGAAATGCTTTCGCGGCTCTGTGCATACACTAAGGTGCCACTGAACTGGATACTTTAAAATGGTTAATTTTATGGTATGTGCCTTTTTCATCAATTTAAAAACAAAAGAGAATCCCATAGGATAGCTGGGTATGTATATAATTAAAATTTCATTAATAACCCTCATATATACATATGATAATCAGCTAGAAAATATAAAGGGGAAAGAAGATCCTTTCCTTACGATAGGAATAGAAAAGACAAAACACCTAAGAATAAACTCAGCAAAAAGTGGGCAAAATCTATATAAAGAAAAGGCTTCCAAAATAGTCAATTAAATAAAGTTCACTGGGTTCTTGGCTAGGAAGATTCAACACCACAAAGATGTCAATTTTTCCTTAAGTTAATCTATGAGTTTAATGAAACACCAATAAAAATAAGTATGAATTGGACTTCTTTTAATTAGATAAGAAAATTTATCTAACAATCATAATACATAAAATGAAAAATACAGAAAATTACAAAAAAAGTAATGATGAGTGAAAAGTTCTACCAGATTTTAAAATACACTCTTACAACAATAATTAAAACAACAAACACATTAGCACATGAGCAGAGAAACCAGTGGAACAGACCCAAATGTCTAAAAATAGAGCCAGGCACATCTGGGACTTCAGTATATGGAAAAAAAGTGACACTTTAAATCAGTGAAGATGTATAAATAATAAACGGTTTGGGTACAACAAGATAACCACAAGATAAAATATAAAGTTGGATCCATACCATCACACCTTTATATGAATATAAATCTCAAATAAAGACAAAATTTAATTTAAAAAAATGAAACCATAAAAGTACTACAGTAAACTAAAGGCAAATTCTTCTTAACCTCAGAGTAGGAAACACATCCCTAATTACAACCCAAAACCACAAACACACATCAGACAACTTGATAAATTTAGCCCCCTAAGAGTCTAAAATTCCTTCATAGCAAGTACCAAAGAAAAGAGAATAAAAGGGTAAGTGAAAATATATTTGCAACTCATACCACAGAGAGAGGCTAATTTTCCTATAAAGACCTCCAAAAAAATCATTAAGAAAACTTAATAGGAAAAATATTGGCAAAGAAAATGAATACTCACAAAAAAGGAAATACAAATAGGTCTTAAGCACAGGAAAAGATTGCATAAACTCACTTGTAAGAGAAATACAAATTTTAAAGTGTTAAGAAAGCAATTTTTCCCTACCACTGACAAAGATGAAAAACAATCTGATCCCTTGCTCTGCTGGCAGAGGCACAAGAAGAGATACACACACAACGGGGAGCACGAGCCGGTAACACGGCATCGGAGAGCAGCTCGGCAAAGGCCGTGAAAATCACAGGTGCACGTACCCTCTGGCACAGTAAGGACCCTCCAGGAACTTACCCCACAGGTACACTCACACATGTGTGAAAAGATTCATGTTGTTTATAAAAAGAGAAGTTTGAAAACCTCCCAAGAGTCGGTCAATAGGGGGCTGGTCAGACGCATTGTAACGTCTCCATACTGAGTACTATGCCGCTATTAAAAACTGGAATATGTGCATGTATACACATATCTGCTTGATATATAAATATCTCTAGATTTTATGATACACTGTTAACACTGGGTGCATCCAGGGAGGGGGACAAGGATGGGAACTGACTTTCACTATAACCTTGTTACACATTTTAAATTCTGCCCTGTGGGCAAATATTACCTACTCAAAAAATAATTTTTTAGGTATTTTTTAAATTACAAAAAAAGGTGTAATAACACGAGAAAAAGTTTATTCAATAATGTTAATTTTTGAAAAGCAGAAAACAAAGCTATATAAATACCAAAAAAAACAAAAATTGCATCCTGCCAGTTGATTTTTGTGTACTTTTTATCTTCTTCTTTACTTGTTTTATAGTTTCCAAACTTTAGATATAAAGCATGGATTAATTTTAAAACATAAAAGTAATTTTTATTTTTTATATAAATTCTATCCATGTAATCATAGCTATCAGCTATTAGGGAAAACAAAAGAATGACAAGCAATTTTCTGTGTTACTCTCACCCGAGGTAAAAAAGTGAAAAAGAAAACATCAAGCTCTGACTGGTGTGGCTCAGAGGGTTGGGCATCCGTCCCACCACAAGCTGAAAGGTCACCGGTTCTATTCCCCAGTCAAGGCACCCGCTGGGGTTGCAGGCCAGGTCCCCAGCTGGGGGCGACTGGAGGCATGCAAGAGGTAGCTAGATGTTTCTCTCCCTTTCTCCCTCCCTTACCCTCTCTCTAAAAATAAATAAATAAAACCTTTTAAAAAAAGTCAAGCCCACAGATTCTTAAAAACAAGTGTCCATAAAAACATCACTGGTTTTTGGCTCCGGGCACCCAGCTCCTGACCTGGTTCCCTCAGAGCTGAGACTACGGAAGAAAACAGAGGCCTCACTCACATCAGTCTGGAGATGGGCAGGAGCTTCTGAGTTGTCATTGATCCTCCGAACGCTGTCATAGTGCTCTCCGTACCGATAGGCGATGTGTAACTCCCGCACGCTGCTCTTATCTGTACCACGAATCTGGAAGCAAGAGAACGGAGATGCCAGCGAGGATCTGGATGGCGGCAGCTCCTGGAGAGAGAAGCTACCGGCATCGCTCAGGAAGCCCCGTCAACGGGCTCTTCATGGAATGACTGGGAACAGGACCAGGCATGTCCGGAGCGGTTCTGACTTCCCTCTCCCCGCCATCCACGCACGTATGCTTCGCTGTGCTTAGTATGGAAGAATATGGAAATTAATCCATATGAAAATGCACTTCAAAACCCCGGGGAAGATTTCAGTGACGTTAAATAGGCTCCAGTTCCAGGACTTCAGTACCTCCCTAACTGCACAGGCCCTTCCAAGAGGGAAGGCTCACAAACACACGCAGGTTTGTTGCACCTGAAGCCCTACTTTCTATGTTGCCTGTGTCTATATAGTTCACAGAAGCATATACTTTATTTGTAACCAGAAAAAATATACAGGTTTCAGTATCTCTATTGTTGTATGAGACTGCTCATTATTAATGCAAGAGTTCTTACCCATGACAGTAGCAACCAAAGCAGTTTCAATTCTTAGATTTCATAAGACACTTCACTGGGGTGGGGGGAAATGGGGGAGATCCAGTGACCAGCTCCACTATATAGCAAATACATGTATTTTAAAACATACACTTTTAATGTTTAGCAATCCATGGAAGACAATGCTATAAAAATGTACTTGAAAAAATTCTAACTTGCAGAATTATCTTCTACAACTACTTAGATTATTAAGAAACTAAAATAAAGTTATGTTATCAATGGAAGAAAAAGCAGATCATGGTTACTAGGTTGACACTGAGTGCTTCCCTGCAAAACTACGGTCATTACGCTGTATACTCCAACGGTCTGATGACTTCTGCTGAACAGTAATAATTTAATGTCAAAAAGCTGGGACAGTGAAGAAGGTAGCAGTATTCTTGGCTCAAAGACCATCCTTAGAAAGAGAACATCTCACTAAAAATGATAGCTCTCCCTGGTGTCAGTACATCCAACGCTGCCCTGAAGAGAGAAGGAACGAAGGAACGAACACACACACACACACACACACACACACACACACACACACACGTTTCCCTCCCCGTAAAATTCCTCACCAACCCACGGAGTATCTACTTTATTTTGGTGTAATTTTGTTAAGAGGACATTATGCCAGACGTAAGGGCTAGATGCTACCATTCAGCTGACGTTCTGGGAAGGCAAAGCTATGAGAGACAAATCAGATGACAGGCACTGGGGATACGGGGAGGGGGCTCGTGGCTGCAAAGGGGCACGAGGAAGCTCTTGCAGGTGACAGAAACATTTCCTATGTTGACAGTGACGGTGGTTACATGACTATATTTGTCTAAAAAAAATGTACACCTGAGAAAGGTTAGTTTTCCAACATGTTAATTATATCTCTATAAACAGAACTTTATTTTTAATGAGGAAGGGTTGTGAATAAACCACTTACAAAGGAAAATATGGGTTGGCGGTACACAAAAAGAGGGAGAAAAAGGTCTCCGTTGCCTTTATTATAATAATAATAATAATATGCAGGGATATATAAATCTGTGTCTCCATATGCATGGGCAGGTCCAAATGTGTTGGAGATGTGTTTGAAAGGTGTATAAAACCATCATGATACACATCTTCCCAGTTGCTTATGAATGTTCTTATAGCTGCGAGTATGTGGGAATGACAGGAATACACACCAAAACGTTAACAGTAATCATCTCTGGGGAGTGTGACTCTAGGCAATTTTTATTTGCCTCTATTGGCTTTTCTGAATTTTTGAATTTTTCTTCAATTCATTATATTTTACCTAATTAAAAAAAATAAAGGTCGACCTGGAGCCGCAGAGGGAGGATGACTGACAGAAACGACACGCCCAGCCCGCAGGGGCCGAGCTGCCGTGCAGGAAGCTCCGCACGCGCAAGGGGGGAGAGCGGGGGGTGGCGGCCTGTACGCGCTGTCGCCCCGCCTTGGCCCTTCCACACAGAATGTCTGGTTTGATGGAGGGAGACCAGCGTAATTTGGGGTACCGAAGCTACCTCACAGAGGGGAATGAAGGGACAACTGCGCGGCTCAACAACGTGCTCTGCCACCCTACGGCACAAACGTAACACTCGTCGTAAAATCTTGTCTGCTGTAGGAAAACCACTGGAATCATATACACAGCTGAGCCAACCGGAGAAACGGAACTGGCCATCCTAGGCCACGAAATGAATCTTGTTGTTCAGAACATCCTTTTTAGCAATGCTTATGATAGTAAATTTGGTCTCTGTTTCCCTCCACCTAAGAAACACAAACATACATGTGGGACTAGGCATACTTCAAAACTAAATTTGTATGCACTAATCCTTTACATTCTTGCTTAGACATTTTACAAAATTATTGACAGTATTTCTACATTAGGCTCTCTGCCCGCCGAAACTTCCCAATTAACTGAATGTTGAAAAATGTTTCTGGCATTTAAAGGTTTCTGAATTATAGACCAGACTCCACGTGAACTCGGCACAGGGTCATCCCAAGCCAGCACAAGCTTCCGGTCTTTGGTTAGGCTCACAGTCCAGGTCACCCTATACAGTTCAAAAGCACAGGTCACGCCTCATCACTCAGGACATCCCCAAAGCAACTTATAAAGGAGAGCTTAAGATAAACTCCTGAATAGGTGACCTACCTGCCACAATGGGGCATTGAGTTGATGAATCACCACATTCAATTGATGATTTCTTGCAAAGGCTACAATTGCATCATTGCCAGCAAAGGTACCAGGCTTTGCCAAACTGGCCACTGCATGGAAACAGGAGAGGGAGAGAAATGGTCTTTATAATAGAAAAATCCAAATGCAAACACACTAGTACTTTAGTTCCAAATAATGAGAAACAAGCATATACATCTAAAAAGTCCATTCGCTTTGTCAGAGTCTAGGAATTTAGATGCTTGAACAGTATGTAGATTGCTACTCAAAAACACAGCAGCCATTCTTAAAGAAAGGATCCATTGACTCATTCCCCCAGTATTTATTGAATGTTTCCTATAAGCCTACCTCCATAAAAGACACAGAAAATGTAACAATAAACAGTGATTTATATAATAGTTTGCATTAATGAATGCACGTTATGTGTCAAGCACTGCTCATTTCCTTACGGATTATCACTTTTAATCTTCAAAACAATTCCCTGAGAATTATCATGCACACCATCTCACAGAGGAGGAAACGGGGGCACAGAGTAATTTATGACTGTGCTCAAGGTCACAGGGCCAGCACACGGCACAGCTGAGATTACATCCCAGGCAGCCTGACCCCAAGACCCTAGTTTCTGGCCACTCCATTATATGGCCTGTCACAGTTGGCCCTTGAGAAGTTTACAATCAATGGGGGGCAAACAAGCAAATAGGTGCTGCTGATACATAAGTGCTACAGGAAAGGGATATATGGTAAAAAATTTGGCCTTGCCCCAGAAAGGTCTGACCTTTGCCCCTGGCTCCTGGGAGACAACCTCTAAACCTTCAAATTTCCCAAGTGATAGGAATGTCTCTGCTGTTCACAGTGGGCCCCTCAACTCCGGCCGTATGACATCAGCCAGACCTGGGAACTGGGGAGCTAGGCGATTGATCAGTAATGCCCACATAAGGCAACTCTGGACACCAAAGTTCAGGGGAGCTTCATGGCTGACAATTCTCTGCATCACACAGATGCCGGGAGGACAACGCATCCTGAGGACAACAGAAGCTTCGTGTTTGGAGCCTCTCAGACCCTGCCCTTTGGTTCATTTTGATCTATAACCTTGCCATGGGATAAACTATGAATGTGAATATGACAACCTTCAGAAAATTCTGTGAGTCCCTGTAGCAAATCCTCTAACCTGATAGTGGTTTCAGGAGACCCCAACCTTGCAGGTAGTGTCAGAAGTGAGGGAAGTCTTGCGGAAGACCGCGCCCTAAAACCTGCAGCTCGCTAGCCCAGGTCAGGAACAGAAACCAGTGTGGCAGCGGTGGGGGCGGCGGGGGGGAGGGGTAAGGTGTTATCAGATGAGCTTCTCGGCTTGGACAACTAAGCCAATTCCCAAATGACAAGTAGAAGATAGAGACACAGAAGAGAGATGAGTTCCAGGCAGAGAAGAGAGAGGCAGAAAGATGAGTCTGCAGAACTTAGAATGCTAAGGCAGCAGGGTGGACGATGAGGAGAGGAAAATGAGAAAACCACAGATCACAAAGGGCTCAAGAGTTAGGACTTTATCCTGAGGTCAAGGGGTTGTAGCTATGGGGAAAGAAGAATTAGATGTACATTTAGGTCACCGCTCGGCTGCAGAAAACAAGCTGAATGGGTCAACGGGCAAAGAGACCAGTTGAAAGAGCATTGACGAAACCTAGAGAAATGACCAAAAGACCACAGAGGCCTATTTTTATGAGGGTCTAGCAGGAGAGAAAATATACTGAGGGAGGCATCACAAGACTTAATGACTGGGTGTGGGAAGGGAGGGAGAGGAGGCGTTAAGAACATTCAGGATTCTAATCTGGGTATTTGTACAGTTGGAGCAAAGATGGTGCCGAGTCTCCACAGCCACAGCCTGAAAGGAAGTAATACTCCAAAAAGATACAGAAAGATACAAGGGCAACCAACCAGGTTCTGAAAAGTTAGGTGGGCCGTTCATTTAGTCACTCAGCAACCGTCTTACGAGTGCCTACCACAGGCTAGGCACTGCCATTTGGGGGGAAGAGACAGTCTCTGCCCTCAAGTCTCTCACAAGGTAACAAGGCAGACAGACATTACAAACACAGAACTGCGATGTGAGTGACAATGCATAAATTTAGTCTTCAAGTGACACACACATGGAACATGCAGATCAGTGAATTCTTTCCATTTCTGCTCTGGCACTCAGAGCCACCTCTCACTTGGAAGCTCAAATTCTTCATGAAGCACCAACAACGATCAGGAATGCACAGTGTCATTTCAAGAAAACATCTTCCTGTTGTACATCTAAAGTGCCTATCACCCTGGACACAAGTTCCTTGCTCTGCCACACCCCCAAATCTACCACACGACCTTCACCGAGGATGATCAAAGTAGAGTTTTAAGTCAAGAACTAAAAACTCACTTCATCCAAATTATTTTAATTGGATCAATGACACAATTCCTATAGCTAGACTACAAAACTTGCCCCATATACCCGCATTTAATTTGTAGACTGCTGGCCATCTGGTTAACTGCCTGTGTGCTAGACAAAAAGCGACCCAGGGAGAGGGACCATCAGCTCGGTGACTGGTAGCAACTACCCGTGGGGAGCTTGGTTGCTACGTCTCTTTTGCCGCTGGTGCTTAGCGAATGAGGTCTTCCTCCACGAGTTATGAATCGCTGACGGCTGCCCTCAGTACTGCTAACAGGACAGCTCCCTAGCCGTTCCCCAAACAGAGTCTTCAGAATCACCTTTGTCTCCCCCGACCCCTTCCTTCTACCTCCAATGACTCTTGTCGATTTTACTGCCAACTGTGTCTTGGCCTAGACCCCGCCCCTCGCCCCCAGCGGCTGCCTTCGGGGAGACCCCCTTCCGCCTGCACCTGGCCAGTGTGTAGGGCCTCCTAACGCATGCCCCTTCTCAGTCTCGCCCCCCGTTCTTTCTTGGCGTGGTTCCCAGAGTTGCAATCGAAAGCACAGGAAATACTGTCTCTTTCCTGATAAGAGGCAGATAAGACTGTACCAGCACCTAGCATAGCACATCTTCAGTAAATTCTTGTCAAATTAAAGTTTAAAAGCTTATATGCATTTTCTTACTAGATTTGTGCCTATTAAGGAATTAATTAACATCACTAAACAATTTGTCTCAAATAAAACAGGAGGTGTTTGGGTTCTTGGTGAGAAATTAAAATAACTTTATTGATTTTTCTGATTACAGAAGTAGTACATGATCATGTAAAATCAGAAGATTCTACAGCCCTGGGCAGGTAGCTCAAGTGATTAGTGTCGTCCCGATACACAGAGGTTGTGGGTTCTGTCTTCAGTCAGGGCACACACAACAATCAACCAATGGATGCATAAATCAGTGGGACAACAAGTCGCTCTCTCTCTGTCTCTCTCTCTGCTCCCTTCTCCGTCTCCCTCCCTCTATCCCCTCCTATAATCAAAAAATAAACATTTAAAAACTTTTAAAAAATCAGAAAAATCTACAGATGGTAATTTATAATACATATAGACCCATCATCCCCAGATGGCTAACAGCTAAGAACTTATTTTAATGATATCATTCAATTTAACCTTCACCAGCAAAGCCTGTAATAGGTGCTATTATCTCCCCTTCAGAGAAGTTTAAAGAGGGTAAGTGGTTTCTGAAAATAAGTGGAGCCAAGGATAAACCACCATAAAATGTTAGCATCTTTCCAGAATTGTTCTAGTGTGTTTCTGAGTGTGAATACCTTTTAAAGATAGGACCAATCTACACACACTATTTTACAGTCTACTTCCCCCAAGTCGGTTAACATATCAGTTTTATTAAGGGTATACACATCGAAACCTACTGAATCCCAACTGCCCAGCATGCTGCCTATTACAGAGCGGACAAGTAAGTATTTGCAGAATACACGCCATTGTTTATGTGACCAGACTCCTGGCTCGGAGGGTGGGGAAGGCCGATGGATTTAGTTACCCAATGTGTCACTCTGGGAGGATCCAGTGTCCCACGGTGGACCTACCATGTTTCTCAAAGGGAATGTCATCTTCTACAAAGGGTTCAAAATCTTCCCGCTGCTTTATCATGTAGTCCACTGTCTCCTGTCGGTGCTTGAGATGGTTTCGTGAGTGTCCCTCCAGTTGATCACCAAGGGCTCTGAACAGGCAATTGCTATCAAAACAAAAACGCTAGTCAAAACCTTTAAAAATAATTAATTCAGTTCATCTAAAATGCCTCATGCTAGGCCATCTGTGGAAATCTTTCACACAGGGAAGAGAGAAAGCCTCAGCTGACATTCCATGATTCTTCCGAGGTCTGAGGGGAGAGCTCTAGAGCAGATGTCCAGCTACGCCACCTGTGTAAGAGGTGACAAACTAGGATGCTGTTCCCCACTTCCGGGCGGGCTGACTCAGGGAAGTTATTCAACATTCCGGGGCCTCAGCCGCTTCACCAAGTGAGGCCAGTGACAAACTCGCTGCCTGAAGTCAGGCTCCAGACATCACAGGCCATTTCTCAAGGGTTCCCATCCCCAGACGCTCCTCCAAAATGCTAAGTCGTATCTACTGCCTTTTTTCCAAAACAAGTTTCACTAGAGCTGCCCAGCTAACTAATCATTCGCCTAACAGACAGTACCCAAAAGATGGTAATTCGTCAAGCTCCCAGTACAAACTGAACCCGGGACCCTGTTTAAGCCCTAAGAACACAGAGGAGCTTGGACGTGTGCGGCTGCCCTGGCCATGACACCTCCCCTCTTCTTCGGCTCCGCAGCCCCCACCCAGGGAGCCACAATGCTGTCGCTGCTCCTGCCAAATGAGAACTTTAACACGATTTTTATTTTGTTTTGTTTCTAAAATTAAAAAGCTGCTAATAAACTTTAAGAGCTATCATTACTTTCAAACCCCTAAAAAGCTACTATAATAAAATTCCAATCTATATCACACAGAGCCAAGATACACAGAGCTTGAAAAAAACATACACAACCCAGCATCCTTAAAACTAGGGAAACCAGCCATTCTTAAGCGAAACAGTTGCCCGGTTTCACACCAAACTGTCTACTCTTCCACCTATCACTTCCAGAAGGGCCTCAGACATAAATGCATAGGAGAAAGAAGGGTTTTGTTTTTGTTTTTCAACTCAGAAAAATGAATTTTAAAAAAAGTTATAGAGACAGGAGTCTCTTCAAATGTGTAAGGATTTATACTATTTTTTGCAAGAGGGGAGAAAAAATTTAAAGGTGAAAGATTCTATAAACTAGAACCAAGAAGCTTCGCAGCAATCTAAGGCAAGATTCTAGAAGGGACTGGAATACAGCACTTCTCTACTAGACTGAGGTGTCTGTTGCTAAAATGGACAATGTCAGTCTTTCTTCAACTACAGAAGAAAAAAAAATGAGTAAAGCATTCTCAATTTTAAGCTTTTCTCTCAAACTTTTCTTAAACCTTTAGCATCTGCCACCGCTAGATCTATTCTTTAATCTAGCTTAAGGGGTGTGATTTAGCCCAAAATGATAGTTATTTTACATTTAATATCTCAAAAGTCATGGTGTCCTATAGAAAGTAACATGCTAAGAACTTTGAGTAACATGGGTAAATGTTCTCCATATAAGCCAAAAAAGTTGACACGTTCATCTGCACACCACACACACGTATGCAAAGAAAAAGCACCGAAACCACCACTTAAACATTGACCACATGCCAGGGGCTGCTGTAAACACTTCACATGTATTAAATGTACTTAGTCCTTGCAACTCTGAGCTTGGTATTATTACTATCCCTCCACGGTAACTCGCTCAATTGAGGTCACATAACTAGTCGGTGGTAGACCCCAGGATTCAAACCCAGGAACCCAAATGTCAGCTATAGTTACCCCTAGGTAGTAGAATTAGAAGCAAAGGTTATATTATATATTATCTTAATATTTTTCTATATTCAGCAAACTTTCCTGACCTCACTAAAAATAGTCAAAATGAAAAATCAAGAGACAAATCGCTTCCTTGTCTGACAGTGGCCAACCTGAGGCCCCTCAGGGAGCCCAGCAAGAGAGCAAAGCAGTCACTGCCCGGAGGACCTCTGGGGGACCCACAGTTTCCGGGGTGCGCGCCCTCCCCGTTACACGCCGCAGGGCTTCTCAAGCCCCACACTATCAGCATGTGGGGACGACTCTTGTTGCAGGGGCTGTCTTGTTACCTGCAGAACGTTCAGGAGCCTCTACCAACTAGATGCCAGTAGCACCACCACCACCTCCTTCCCTGCCAGTTGTGACAACCACAAATGTCTCCAGACATTGCCAAATGTTCCCCAGGGGAACAAAGTCATCTCCCCTTGAGAACCACTGTGTTACTGGGATATATGTAAAGGTCTTACATTTGCACTCACAAAAACCACCAATTCACAAGTAGCAGGTAAGAGTTTAAGGGCTCCCTCATTTAGTATGAGCCACGGTTGTCACAGAGACATCAGAAAACGTCATGGGCTCCCAGGCTGCAGTAACGGCAGTGCACATGCACCAAAAGGAGGGGCACGGGATTTGTCCTATTCTTTGAGGTCAGACGACAGCTAGAGTACTGGGTACCATTCTGGTTATTGCACTGTAAGAAAGTTCAGATGAAATGATATGAGGTCATTGTTTTTAAGATTTTATTTATTTTCTAGAGAGAGAGGAAGGGAGAAAAAGAGGGAGAGAAACATTGATTGGTTGCCTCTCTCATGCACCCCCAACCAGGGACCTGGCCCGCAACCCAGGCACGTGCCCTGACTGGGAGTTGAAGCCGGAACCCTTCGGTTCACAGGCCGGTGCTCAACCCACTGAGCCACACCAGCCAGGGTGAAATGATATGGTTCTAAAATGCGTAACTGGAAGAACATAAAGGACTACTGATGTTTAGATGAAAGGTATGTTATACTTGTACAATAATATAAAACTAAAACACTGGAGATACAGACACATAGATTTTAGCAAATAAAAGGAAATTTTATTTTACCTCTATGGGCATACAGATTCAGAATCTTATAAATTTCTATTGGCAACCCTCAAGAATTGTGTGCTCTGTGCTGTACAGTATAGTAGCCACGAGCCTCCTGTGACTACTGAGCATATGAAATGTGGTTCATCCAAATGAGGAGTGCTCTAGGTGTGAAGCACTGGATTTTGAATAGAATTTTTTAAATGTAAAATTCCACATTAACAATTTTTATATTGATTATACATTGACGTATTTTAGAGTGGCTTAAAACACATATTGAAATAGTTTCACCTGTTTCTTTGTAGTTTTTTAATGTGGCTACTAAAAACTTTTAAATTACACCCATGGCTCCCATTGTATTTCTGTGGGCAGCGCTGCTCTGGGCCAGTGCTTCTCCGAGTGCGGTCCCTGACAAGCGACATCCGCATTGCGAGAGCCTGTTCCAAAGGAGGATTCGGCGGCCGGCCCAGGCCTACTGACTCAGACTGGGCCTGGCCCGGGAAATCCAGTCGCGCCGAGTGCTTTAACTGGCCCTCCAGGTGACCCTGCTGCATGCCAGAGTTTGAGAAACACTAGTCTAAAATCTAAAGTCTAATAAATCAGTGGTTTTCAATGATGGCTGCACATAGAAATCACCTTTGGACCTTTTGAAAAATCACCAATAGGCAGGCTGCACGGCCTGAGATTCTGGTGTAGCTGACCTAGGGGAGGCCCCAGGCACTGCACTGCCCCCAGAGTTCCCGCAGGTGATTCTCCTGTGTCACCAGGCCTGAGAATCACTGCGCTAGACACAGAAGGTGGGGCTGCTGAAGAGATGATGCAGGTGACCGACAGGCAAGAGGATGTGCAGATGCCTTTCCATCACCCAGATCCTACAATTACAAAATAAAAAAATAAAACAACTTATTCTGAGACAGAGCTAAACAGCTAAGATTGGTGATTCTATAATGTTTTAATTTTAGAACACTACTAATTAGTTATGTAATTTGGGGTACAATTAGTAAATACAACTGGATATTGTTCATAGGATGCTAATGTTGCTTCAACTGCCTACTGCAATTAGACATTCTTTTCAAATTATAGCCAATGATGTTTTTAAGGACAACATCAAGCTTAAAATATTTCCTTCTTGTTTTGAAACTAAATCCAATTTATGTGGGTCCACCTTCCAGACAACATAACAAGTATGAAAATGGCCCAGGATGTATCACAAAACCCTATAAATAGCTCCCTGATTAAGCTACGTGAATCTGACTCAACCCATGGAAACAGTGGACTCAGAGGACACCAGCTAATTTATCCCCAAGCCCCCAGAGGTTCCAGAGCACTCCGAGGACCACACCACCACCAACAGATAGGCCCACACAGCCAGATGCTCTCTCAGGCTTCTCGACACTGTAATCAGACCAGAATGGAAACACGGAAGAGTGAAGACTGTCAATTATTATTTTTATATTACCATAACTTTATCATATTTCCCCAAAGAGCACTCAATAAATATTAATTAAGGAAGGTGCTGACACCTGCCAGCCCACCGCACACACAGGAACATCTCTGCCGCAGTGACCCAGGCCGTTATCACACACCCAAAAGCACCACAATAGGAAGGAGGCAGAGCCACAGTCCGTGTCTGGAAGCCTTGGGAAGAGTGAGTGGGTGAGCTTCGCAGAGCCCGCGCAAGAGGAATTATCACTTTATCTAACACTGGCCAACGAGTAAAGACCTTGGAAGTGAGAAACACGAGCATTCTGGTCAAGCTGACCCCTGGCCTCTACAGCCGCACTGCCCCGACTCCTAACACGTACCCTGCGCTGCTGTCATCCCGAACAACTTGCAGGTCTCTTAGAAATAAAGTGCTCTGGTGCCTTCACATATCTCACCCCCCATGCTGGAATGTTCTCTGGCATATTCCTAGGGGTCCTTCACAACCCCGCCTGCACGTGACCTCCTCTGCGAGGCATCCAGCACAGGGTACATTTCAACGAGAATTTGCTGGATGAATGAGGCTGCTGCCCTAACCACCTAACGGAGCGTTAGCCACTTCCTTCTCAATAGCACTACTATAATCACTCACTGCTAAGACTATATCAGACTTTTAAAAAATTATTTATACAATCCATTCTCAAAGTGTGGCCCAGTGTGGGGGTCAAGTATCTCTGAGACCCTTTCAGGGTATCTATGAATTCAACATTAAGATGTTATCTTTTTCACTCTCATTCTCTCACAAATGTTACAGCGGAGTTTTCCAGAAGCTATCTGATATATGAGGTTATCACTCTGAGAGCTAATGCAGTGTGTTTGTGTAGTCTTGCTTTAATTTTTTTTTTCCTTCCTAATTCAGTAAATACTGCTAGCTATAACCCACATAAACAAGAGCTCTTTGGAGTCCCCAGTAATTTTTAAGAGTGTAAAGGGGTCCTAAGACTGGAATGTTTGAGATCAGCTGTTACGTTTCTCTCTTACCAGATCTTGAACTCTGTGAGCATCTTAGTCACCAGTGTAGTCCCAGCTCCTCGCTTAACCAACGTTTGCTGCATTAACTACCAAAGTACTCTCTTTGTGGGTGGGAGGAGAGGTACCACCCCCAAAGCTTCCTATAGCCTTAGGAAAGCTCCCCCAAGATCTTACAACTCCCCGCGGTGTGATTCCTGCTCACGAGCGACCTTCTGTTGAGTATTTCAGTCTCCTGGGCACCCTACCATTGAGACTACCATACCCACTACTGCCAAGAACAGCCCCACCTCGATCCCACTATAAAGAATTCAATTAGTGCTTTGATTTATACAGCACTCTCTTGTGCTTTTGAATCTGATTAAAATAAGTAACACCCTGAATAGTTAGTAAACATTATATCTGAAAAAAATCAAAGTACTAGGTGAAAAGACCCAGCAAAGCAAGTCTCCAACTGCAGTGACTCCACTAAGGAAATATCCCTTTGAGAGGTCCTGCTGAGCATCTAGCTGGCCTCCCTCTATGAGTTTTCCATCATCCATCCATTCATTCATTCAACAAAAATGCACAGAGTGCCTCTATGTACTCCACACCGTGCTGGGTGGCGGTGAGCAAAATATAACCAAACTCTAGATCCAATTAGCCTAAAGCACTGAGCATATGTAGGAAAGATGGAAAAGATAAATCGGGGCCAGTTCATGAAAGTCTTGATTAAAACTGTTCTCCTCCCCTCTCCTCTACCCACCTGCTTCTTCCATCCACCCTCCTGTCTCCACTTCCCTTTTCCTGAAGCCGTTTTTCCTGCCTTTCTCCCATTCTCCCCCTCTCACACCTTTATTTATCCCTAAAGAGGGTGGACCTAGATTCCATTCCAAACCTCAAGGAAGCTTGGGTAAGCACCTTTGCTTACAGAGGAGAAACTGAGGCCCCTGGAATAAATAGAGAAGTTGCCTTCAGCCAACAGCAGGGCTTCACAGACCTAATTTCCCAAAGCGGGGGGAGGCCCAAAAGTAAGGACTCGAAGGAGACAAAATGTTAAACCACGTGAGGCCTACGCCTCTATTTGACTGTCATTTCTGTCTGCTCTACGTGCCGTCCCGCTCTTCAAGGAACTGGCTGCATCGCGTCCCGGCGGATCGCAGCTGAAACGTCACCTTTCAAAGAGGCCTTTCGGCACACCAATCTGAAGGACACCTGCTCCGGTATTCTCTCTCCGCATCCTGCCTTTGCCTTAACAATTAGGGGAGGAACGTGAGATTACTCGAGCGCTGCCGGGAAGGAGCGTCGCCGCCTCGCCCGCCGCCGGACCCTCTGCCCTGGGGAGCGGCGGGCTCGCGGCTGGCTCTCGGGGCCGCCTGCACGAGTGGGCGGACGAGAGCGGGCGACGGTCGCCAAGCCCGGCGCATCCCCCGGCGCCGCCCCCCGCTCTCCCGGGCCCGCCTCACCCGTCCCCCGGCACCTCCCGCAGCTTCAGCCCCAGGGCCTGCAGCTGGTTGGCGAAGCTCACGAACTCCTCCTCGCAGCCGCCGCCGCCGCCGCCGGACTCGGGCCGGTTCCGCCGCTCCTTGGCCAGGGCCCGGCGCGCCGCCCGCTCGTCCCGCTTGCGCTCGGCCTCGGCTTTCCGGCCGCCGCTGCCCGGCCGGCTCTTCGCCGCCTGCTTTCGGGACATGGCCTTGGCCCCGCGGCCCGCGGCCTGCAGCGGCAGGAGGAAAAGCCGCAGGACCGCGGGGCGGCCCACTCAGGTGCACAGAAGCGAAAGTGCAGCGACCGACGGAGCCCGGCGACGGCAACGCTATCACCACGGCTGCGCCGATACCAGGCACTCGGGGTCACGTGACCGGACCCCGTCCCTCCCCTCTCCGCGCAGCTTTACGGTCATGCGCCGTGGAGACCTCTCCTGGGAGGGCTGGGCTAGTGGGGCACGCACCTTTTTTTTTTTTTTTTTGGCTCCGCTCTTCCCCCTAGCGGTGGCTGGCCCTCTAAGTGAAGAGCGGGTGGGTCCCGGGAGCAGAGCAAGAGAAAGCCGAGAGAGACGGAAAAGCAGAAGTGGGATGAGAGCAGCGGCAAAAGTGAGGAAAGAATAGAACCTAAAAATTTTAACTGCAGCTGTGAGCGTACAGTTGGGATAGGCGCTTTCATATTCTTGTTTAATTATCGCAAGTTAAAGGAACCTGAGAGGTTAACTAAGTTCAGGAATGTCACACAGCTCAGGAGCAGAGTTTTGCCCTGGTTTCAATACCCATACACTTCATTTATTTAACCTGCCCTTCTTGGCCTCTCTGCTTTCCCTGATAGCCCTTGTCAAAAACTGCTGGCTCCTCTGGTAATCTTGTTTCCACCCAGGGTGACCAACCTGGATTTGCCTGGACTAAGTAAGGGTATTCCTGGGACACAGTCATACAAGGATAGCTAGTCACCCTATTTTCCAACACCCACCTACTCTGGAAGCTGACTCCATCAGTAACGGCCTCTTCTCCCTCATCCCAGCTTCTCTTTCTTAACTGTTTCTTCCCATGATGATGCCACTGTCTCCTCCTCTTGACCATCTAAGCAGTCTTTGTCACCATCCCTGGAAATAGTCCTGATATCTGCCCTTAATCCCATTTACTCACTCCACTTATAAGTCCCTCTTTAGCAAAAGCCTCCACTTCCTCAGTTTCGATTAGCATTTGTATTTATCTTTGATGTGTATAGAACTCTCATGTCAGGTCCTGTTCTAGGTGCCAGGTGTAACACATGTAATCAGAGACATGGCGATTGTCCTCAGGAAGCCCACATCCTCATGGGACATAGAGCCAAGGACACGACAATCACCATAATACTCCATAACAAATGCTATCAAGGAGGAGGTACAGGGTGCTGTAAGGAAAAGTGGAGTGAAAAATGCAAAAAAGCTTCCCAGAAGAGCCGAGTTCTACGCAGAAGTTTAAAGGGTGAGTAGGACGTGGCCAGACTAAGACATTTCAGGGCAAAAGGCCCTTGTCCCCAGCACCAGAGCTCAGTTTGGAGGAACTGAAGGAAGTGCAAGCTAACAGGGCACAGGGCTTGAGCCATGAGGCAGGAAGTAAAAGGAAGGCTCAACTCTGGACAATCTCGTAGGGTGTATGGAAGGGTTTTACGCCAAGTCCTTAGAGCCATGGGGAGTCCTAGAAATATGTCTTTGGCTTTGGGGGGAAGAATGGGTTAAAAGTGGGATGCCAGGCAGGAGGCTCCTCTCAATGTCCAAAGACAGGTGACAGTGCTGGTGGTGGCAGGAACTGGGATGAAGGGGAAGAGAAGTAGACTGGAAAGGTAGATTCACATGTTAGTAAAAATTTATGACATGACATTTGGACTGAATTGTTGTGAGATGTTTTACACGCTGCGCTGAAGTTCCTGCAGTTCTTTCTCTGCAGATCCCGCTTTGATTCTAGGAAGGAAGAGCATGAATTGGCCTGGTTCTGACTTCTCTTGCACAGACGTTCCGAGGCCTGCACCAGCCCCTCTGCTTGGCTTTAGTAAAGATGGGAGGCAGCGTGAGGAGTGGAAAACCCTTGCGCAGGCTGGCAGCGCCCCAGATTCTGGTCCAGGTCTATGGCTGACTGACTCCACGGTCTTGGGTTAGTTGTTTAACCTCCCTAGCTTCCTTTTCCTCACCTGTAAAATGGGAATAACAACAATGAAGACCAAATACAATAGTAAAAATAATAATGACAAACTTTTATGGCATTTACTATGTACCAGACAATATGCTAACTGCTTTACAGACACTATCTTATTAATCATTACAGCAACCCAATGAAATATGCATTATTTTTATATTCTACTTTATAGAGGAGAAAACTGAGGCACAGAGAGGTTAAGTATCTTTCCCAAAGTGACATGGCTAGCAAGCAGCAGAGCCAGGATTTGAAGCCAGGCTATCGGGCTCCAGGGCATATGCCCTTGACCACTGTATTACACTACGCATGTAATTGGTCATAAACCGCAAAGAACCCTACCTCGTACATGAATTTGTTTCATTATTAACTCTCACATGCTTCCCATATTTGTCACGGATACAGTCTTTCTACCATCCCTATTGTCCCATATCACTATCACCTGATTTTCTATTTAATTTTTGTTTTAGAACAGATTATAGAGATTTTAGAGCCTGGTAGGCCTGCGTTTCCATCCTGATTTCACCTTAGGTGATTTCACTTTAACTTCTGAACCTCCATTTTCGATTCTGCAAAATGACTACAGTGGTGTAAGGATGGGTGGGAGAGTTGTAAAGATTAAATTAAAATGCAAAGCCCCAGGCCCCCAGTAACGGGCAGCTTAATGAAGGCCTTTGGATTATTCCACCAACTGTGGAAGGCTCAGGGGCAAACATGGCCACTGCAGACTTCTGAAAACAGGGGAGCGGAGTTTGTCACCACGAAACTGGAAACGCAGAACATGTGAAAGTCGTGACAGAAATGCAGACGCTTGCCCTTCTTGGGGACATCTTTTCTTGCATAAGCTGTCAGCCTGCCAGTCCATGCCTGGAATTTTGAATGAGTTGGTCTCTCCCAGCAGAGGCGTGTGTCAGACCGTGTCTCCCTTTGAGTGCAAATCAATACTGCTTATAAATCAGATCAAAAGGCCAAAGCAAAGGAGTACTTGTGAATTAACTGGAGGCTCTACCAACTTCACCAGAGTTAATGGAAAAAAATCATCAAACCTCATTGTGTGGCATTTAGTACAAATTGGTAAAAAAATAAAATAAAAATAAAAAATGTGACTAGAAGAATTTTAGTGAAGAAATGCAGCTTCAGGACTTGCAAGAGCATATGATCAAGGGTGCAGGGAAACGAGAACTCTCACACATGGTTGTTGGGAGGTAAACTAGTCTGGCTACGTTGCAGGGCAAATTGGGTAGTCTCTGGTGACATTCTAGAAGCCCGATGACCCAGAAATACCGTATCTCATTATCTATCCTAAAAATCTTGTACACATGCACTCAGAGGTATGTCCAGTGATGTTTAAGGCTTAATGGTGTATAAAAGTAAATAATTAAAAATAATGCAAATATCCATCAATAGGAAAATGGCTTTTAAATTACGAACCAGCCATTTATTAAATAATCTGCAATGGTTTAAAAGAATGAGGTGGGAGAGGAGGGAAATGAGGCAGGCCTACATGAACTCGCATGGATAGCTTCCCTAGGCATGTGGCTGAGCGGAAAAACATTTGGCAGAGTGATCCATTCCTGGCAGCTTTTGTGTAAAACAGAACAAGAGCATTGTACAGGTGTATAGGTCCACTTAAAAATGCAGAAAATGGTCTAGAAACATAAAGCCCAAACTGATAAGAGTGAGGATGGAGGAAAGAGCAAATGTGACCTTATCTTAATATGTAATTCTTCTTAATGAGGGCAAGGTAATTGTGTATTATGTATATAATTAATAAAATTATTTTAGTATTCCTTCCTTCAGATTGAAGCCCTGTAGCATTCTTCTGGGGACTTGCTTTATCAGCTAACTTTAATTTGTAATAAGCATATCACTTTTCCTGAGAAGTGGCTATTCCAGCCCTTATTAGACCCAGTAACCAAAGGACCTTCTCCTTGCCTGAGAGCCATTTCAGCCACATTGCAGCTCTTGTAAAATAACAGAAGAAATAGTCATGGGTTCTTCCCTCCCCAGTTATGTTCCTCAGGCAGAGGAAACTTTATTAAATTCCCACCACACTCAGCATCTTTCTGCCAGCTGACCTCTTATGAAATCCTGTCACTAACTTCCCTCCACATCAAACTCTGTCACTATAATCACCTCAAACCTGCAACTCACCTTCCTCTGCCTCTGAAGGAGACATCTCATGACAGTTTGACTTTGGCTTTGACCAAATACTGGCATCTAGAGCTAACTTAAGGAAACGCCTATGATGAATGCCGAGCTCTCATGGTTCACTGATGGTTCCTATTTAAAATGAAGGAAAATATCGGGCTGGGTATTACAGCTTCTTTGTAGGCGGTCAAAGTAGCTCCACTGCTGACGGCCACTTCAGCTTAACAGGCCAAACTCTATGCCTTGACTGGAGCTCCCACTTGAGCAAAAGGTAAAACTGCAAACATTTACACGGATAGTCCTTACAGCTTTGGGGTGGTTCATGATTTTGGAATGATCTAGAAACAGGATTCCTAATCTCTGGAGGATCTCAAATTAAGAGTGGGTTCTTTGTGAATAAACTACCAGTCTCGATCCAACTTCTGTGTGCCTTGGCCATTATCAAAGTTCCTGGACATTCAACATTAGACTCAGGGGAAGCTAAAGGCGAGAGTTTGGCTGATCAAGCAATGACTTAATGACCGCTGCCTTAGACTCTGTCAAACCCAAGGCCCACGTAACCAACGTCGACTGCTCCCCGAAGGAATATGTAAAACTCATTATTAAGGATGCTCAATCTAGGGCACCCTACAAGGTTAAACTTTATTGGACTGATGACGTTTGTAGTCTCAGTCCATTGACTGATTTATGGTATGGCCCACAGAAGGTACCTATCCTGCCAAGGTCCATGAAAAGAGCCCTGATAGAAATGACTCATCAGATGACCCACTGGGCAATGATAAACTTGTAAGTTTCACGGAATGATGCTGGTGGGGCAATGGTTCAAGGGCCACCAAAGAGGCACAATTGACTTGTACCGTCTGTCCTAAGTACAATCCAGAAAGACTATCTCTGCAGTCCCTGGACATTCTGACTTGCCTAAAGCGTGGCAAATAGATTTTATCCAGCTGCCCTCTTCCCAAAGTCGTAGATTTGTTCTTGTTATGGTTTGCATGTGTTCTCGTTGCACTGAAGCATTCCTT